TCGACTATTAGTCGATAAAGTATTCGTTTGGTTATTTCAGTAACCGGACGAGTTTTTAGATTTAATTCCGATTCATTTAATTAGTTAATGAGTTCGGAATTAATAAGCCAAGTTGACGAATTATTCAAAATATTAATGTTCGGATTAATCGTCTAAGTCAAGATAAGGTTCCGAGGTCAAGTTGTAACCAAAAACGAGTACGTTCGGTTAAGGTTACCATATATGAACGTCATTCCTATACAGCGACGCGTTCACATTGGTACACCGTCCATCATTAATTAAGTAATGGTCATTAGCCCCTTGCTTAATTAACTTAATCCATGTTTAAGCTAATTAATCATAATTAGCTTATAATCATGACTAGTTTTATGTTAATGATGATTAATTAACATTAATCACGATTAGTTTAATATTAATCATGCTTAAGGATAATCGTGTTTATTTAGTGTTAATCCATGTTTCAGCCTAATTAAGTCCTATGCTTAGGCTTACATCTTAAACTACACGCACGCACGCACGCATGTTGTGCATAGCCGCGCGTGTATCCATGTTTCAGCCTAATTAAGTCCTATGCTTAGGCTTACATCTTAAACTACACGCACGCACGCACGCATGTTGTGCATAGCCGCGCGTGTATGCGCGCACGCAATCGTGCATAGTGCACGTTGCCGTGCACTAAGCCTTCTTAAGCACATGCTTTACTTCTTTAAGTACCATGATTAAAAGTAAGCTCCCAAGTACAGATAAGTCTCGGTGTGCACACCTGCTTGCTCGTACACTTGGCATCGCACGAGCGCACGAGCGATGACTAAGCCCGTGCATGCACGCCACATCGACCGATGACTAAGCCAGGCACACAACACCTCAGCCACGACCTAGACACATGTCATCAAAGGAAAAAATGTCATCCATCACCTCCTTTGACTCAAGTTCCCAACGAACTAGTCTTTTCTTTAAATAAACGAGCACGCATGTTTCCTTCTTGCATTTTTCATGCACAAAAGAGCCGAACTTCAGCATACAATAGAGAGGAGAATAGTAAGGAAATAGAGAGGAGAATAGTAAGGAAATAATTAAAGAAAAATCATAGAAAAATAGCCAAGGTTAGCCAAAGCCGAGGAAAAGCTCGTACACGCACGGTAGTGAGGGATCACGTCCGTTCGTGAGGTTCAGCCGAACATTTAAGAAGGTAAATTGATGTACCACATCCTTTCATGTTAGTAGTATCATGTTCAAATCAGTTTAATGAGTTCATGTCAAGAGATGCAAGAAAATGTCAAAAAAAAAAGGTTCGGTTTTGGCCTTGTAGGTCATGACCGAGTAAGTTTATGATTTACCCGGCAACTCATGTGCAATTCAAGTCCAGTTAGTCATGTTATGTCCTCATGAGTTCAGTATAAAAATATAGGTCGAGATAAGTTGTGGTTTTGCCCATGATTTGGCCTATGGAAGTCGGTAGTGCATGCTCACGGGGCTAGTTCATGCCCTACCATGTTACCTTGCAATATAATCATGTTTGTTCGAGTAAGTCAGGTATAGTTGATCATTATATATTATTTTATGATCATTCAAGCTTTAATGGTCAAGGGAAATTGAAGTTTGGCCGAGGATTGGCCTTAAGCCGATGGTAGCGCCCGTAGCGCACACCACGGCACTTTATCGAACAAAGTGCATGAGTTTTGAGTAAGTTCAGTATATTTGACCATATTAAGTCATGTCATGTTGATTCATGTTGAAGTTGCCGGAGGAAGTCGCCAAACGGCCGGCAAGGGCCGATCGTGGCCACGCTACCGCACACAGCGGCAGCAGCGGGCTGGCAGCACCCCAGCACCGCCCGCCAGCAGTGATGACGGATTGATCTTTTGTCTATACTTGGGTTGCGAATAAACGACGCACTGCGGCCTTCGTTTATC